TACTGTATACAGCTGATGTATTTAATGTAATTGATACTTTTAGTTTTTCTTATCATGCATATGCCGACGACATTCAAATAATAGTCAGCAGTAAACCAGATCAGTTCGAAAGTGCAGTTGAAAGACTAACAAAATGTTTGGCTGAAGTTGACACATGGATGTCAAAAAATTGTCTAAAACTTAATCAAAATAAATCACAGTTTTTACCAGTGGGCACCTGGCAGCAGCTATCAAAAGTAAAAATTGATTCAATAATGATTGAAGATAATGAGATAAAATTTTGCAAGAAGGCTACCAATTTGGGATTTATTTTTGACACTAAATTAAAACTTTGTGACCACATAAAATCGCAATCTAAATCATGTTCAGCACAACTTTAACAAATATACCGAATAAGAAAATATATGGATCAAACTGTAACACAATAATTGGTTCATTCGTTTGTCCACTCGAGATTGGATTATTGCAACAGTCTATTTTATGGGTTGCCAGAAAAGTCTATCGCTGACCTCCAGTCTATTCAGAACAGAGCTGCAATGGTGATTGTTAGAGGCAGAAAATACGATCATGTGACGCCAATTCTGAAAAGCCTCCATTAGGCTAACAGTGAAGAAACGAATTTTTTACAAAATATGCGTCATTATGTACTAGGCCATAAACGAACAACTCCCAGAATACTTGGCTGATAGATTCATAAAGAAGCCGCTGTCTTCGACTGGCAGACGCATGCGATCAGATGACGTCAATTTGTTGATTGTACCAACTACGCAGCTGCAGACATTGTCTAGAGACATTGCAGTGTCGGGACCAATTGTCTGGAATAGTCTGCCAATGTCGATGAGAATGTCAAAGAAAAACATTGTTGATTTCAAAAAGAATTTGAAAACTTATCTATTTGCGATGAACGATTGTAATTGATTGTATCATATCGTCTATTGATAGGATGTACATTATTTCACTGTTCGTTTATTATTTTTTTTTCGATAGCGCTGGTGAGAGATATTTATTTTAATAAGCGCTTTATAAGTGTTTGATAATAATAATAATCCCCTACAATACTACCCGCAAGAGTCGGAGCCATTCAAAAGTAAAAATATTCGTTATTTGTGTTAAACTTGATTTTTCTACTCTTCTTGAAATATGTGGTTGTTGTTGATGGTACTGTTAAGTTTAATGTTGTCGATGTTGGCTTGGCTGCCGTATTTACATCTGATGTTGGAATTTTTTTATACCCACTGTTGATTTTGCTCTGAGTTGTTGAAGGCAGTAGTAAACATGCTGGTTTTAATCTGTTGATTGACACATTCTGAAAATTTTCTGGCAATAGATCAATTTAAATTATTTGTCGTTACGTTCAATTACTTTGAAAGGGTCTGCTCTGCATATAGTGCTTCCAGTGGCCAACGAACCTGATCTACTCTTAGCCATACGTGGTTGGTGTTTAAAAGATCATTTGGTACATAGGCTTTACGGGTAGAATGGTGTTGACTGTTGGTTAATAAATAATCATTAAGTTTACACATCTTATTCGCTAGTTGCTTGATTTGGTTAGATGATATGTCTTCAGTGGAATCTGTTGACAAAAATCGAATTGGTAGTAACAAAGCGGTTCCGGTCACTACTATTGCTGGAGATATTCCATTCTCACGTGGCATGTTTCTTTGTCCTAAAAAAACGACAGGAAGTGCATCCAACCAGTTTTGTTTGCAACAACTGATGGATGTTTTCAGAGTACGATGTTGTCGTTCTATTTTTCCATTAGCCTGTGGATGGTAGCCCGTTGTCCGCAGACGGTAAAATCCAATCAATCGTGATAACTCATGATCGTGATAAATCGTGAAATAATTCACTTTAGAATTGTGCACCCCGGTCGATTGTTATAACACAAAGAGGAACACCAAAACAAGCTATTCAAATATTTTAAAATGTTGTAGCAACGGTTGAGGCTGTTATTTCTGACATTGGAGCTGCTTCAATCCAACCAGTTGCTTGGTCAATAAAAGTAAATAAATATCTGTAAGCCCTTAGTTAAGATTCATTTTTTTGTTTAACAGGAGGTAAATGACCTACAATATCAATATAAACATGTTCGTATTTGTTTATCCATATTTGGCCAAAAATATCTTGATTTGATTAGCCGGATTAATGTTTTATTACCTAGGTGCAAAAGATTATGAAAACTTTCAAAAAGGGTTTTTTTTAAATTATCTGAAATGTATGGTCTTGGGTATAGTGTCGAGACATCTCAAAATACTTTCTGATTGTCACCAATTAGGTATTGTTTCAACTGATTTTCAAATGCTTTTATTTTATCATCGATTTTTTGTTGTTCAGCTATTGATATTAGATCACAGACGTCCACTTTAATAGCATTAGCTGGTCGAGAAAAACAAGCTGCTACTACATTCTCATCGCCTCAAATATAAATAACATCTGCAATATGTTCAGATATAATTAAAAGGTATCGATTTTGAACATCTGACTTCAAAGGTGTTTTCTTTTTATAAACAGCGCATAATGGTTTGTGGTCTGTTAATAAAGTTACATGTCTTCTTTCTATCTGATGTTTGAAATGATTGACGGCGAGGTATGCTGCTAACAGTTCTCTGTCAAAGGTAGAAAGGTTACGTTGTGGTTCTGTTAACTTTTTGGAGTAGAAACCAATTGGAACGGGAGTTGAATCAACGACTTGATGCACCTATGGCATAAGCAGAACTATCTGTAACTAGGTGATAATTTGTGCATGCAAAATATGAAAGTGTTGATGTACTGGCAAGTTTGGTCTTGATGATCTTAAAAACTTCTATTTGTTGTTTATTGAAAATTATTGTTTTTGAATTTAGATGAGCTTTTATTTATTCCGTTAAAGAGAATACAGTATCTGCAAATTGTGGGATGAGTTTACGATAGAACCCAATCATTCCTAAAAATCTACGTAATGATTTGGTGTCATTCGGGAATGGAAATTTTTCAATTTCATCTAGTTTTTCTTTTGTAAGAAATAAATTTTCACTGCTGATGTTAAATCCAAGATAATTGAGACAGTCTTTAAAAAATTGGCATTTGTCGATTGTGAGTTTCAAATTATTTTCACTGAAAATTTTAAACACAGTTTTTATATCTATTTTGTGTTGTTCGGTGTTTTCGGAAAATATCAGTATGTCATCTAAATATACAAAAACACAGTCAATGCCCAGGAAAATATTATCCATGAACCTCTGAAAAATGCATCATAAAAAATCCTCGCCAAGTAACGGATTGAGAATGTCCGCGACTACCACATTCCTCTTGTATGTTCCGTGCAGTGATAAAAGGTAAATTTACACAACAGTTTCTCCACGGCAAGGAATGTTCTAACCACTTGCAGTTGACAAATGAACGGCAGTCAGTTGTAAACACAAACCTACTGAGAATTTTTTTGGTATGATCTTCACGGCTGCGCCTGTGTCTACCACCAATTTCAACTTTGTACTACCTATTTTAGCAACAACTTCAAACATTGGCAAGCCGGATGTTGCGAAATCTGCTTGTCTAGTTAGTTTTTCGACAACATGTTGTTTTCTGGTAATGATTTTTTTGGTTTGGTGATGGAGGTCGTGACAATGGATGGATGTTTAATTTTTTTTGTTTTTCCATCAACACCAAGATTTACATTTTTTGGATTTTTTGCCAAAATATAGGTTACCTCGGAAAACTTGCTGTTGTTGATTTTTGTAAAATAAACGTAAGCTAATTGGGGTGTTTATGCTGCCGTTTGTGTCGTAATATACTTTTCAAAGGCATAAACCTAATTTTTTACAAATGACATTAACTCTTCAGCTAAACTTCCCAGTCAATGTAGATCAAGGTCTCTCTGAGCTGCGATCACTGGTGAAATTGTTGCTGGTAATGCCTCAACAAATTTATGGCGTTTTAGGTCATTTACAACATCTAATTTTTTTGCAGTTAACAATAATTTTTGAAGATAGTGTGATGATCTCCCAGTAATTTTATTGTTGTCCCCAAACAAACAGGCAAAAAGTTCTGGTTTAGTCTTTTTGTGCAACGACATCAAGGCTGAATTCAGAGTGTCGTAATTGTTTTCTACCAGTACTTATGACAGCAATTTTGTTATCACATCTGCCGGCACATCTGTTATCACATCTGCCGGCAGGGAGAACAAAAACGTGGTAGAATCTGGATTCTGGAAAATTAACCTTTCGCAATTTAAATTGTGCTTCAGCTATAGTAAATCATCCTTCTGACGACGGTTCTATGAAATCATTAGTTTGACGGAGATCGCGTCGACGTTTGGTTCGTACTGTTATAACCAACCCTTAGAACTTATAGGGTATATCACATTTACGAATTTTACGTCAACTGTCGTTCCGTCTTCTTTTTACTTGTTTTTCTCGTGTTCCTTCTTGTTCTCGTTCGTCTCGTCTCTTATATAGCTGCCAATGCCGCGTCACGTGGATTTTTTTTTTTACAACCGTTTTAATTAGTTACGCCTTCTAATTAAATTTGGAAGCGTTTCACTTAATTTCTAACTACTAATAATTCTTATCTCGGTTTCACGTCTGTAACATTGCCCTCCACTGAGACCAAAAATCGTCCTCGATTTGGTCAATTCCCTTCGTTGTGTTGATCTTCTGGTTCTGAGTAGGGGGTATCCGATCCAGATGTACGGTTTTCATTATGATCCCAGACTTACCTCGTTCTCGTACCCGATACACCACGTCGTCGATCCAGGTGGCGACTTGGCACGACCCTTCCCAATCCTTGCACTCTTTTTCTGCATGCATTCGACTCACAATTAGTTAAAGGTCATCTATTAATGCGCTCCGTTCATTTATATATTCACATTTCAATTTCAAGTCGCTCTTTGGTTCTTCAATTTTATCTTGCAGTTCATTTGGTCTATCGTGACTTTTATTTTCAAACTTTTCTAAGGATACGGTGAAATTACCTTAGGACTGTTTTTTCTTTTCTTTAGTCTTTACTTGGAACTCTCTGAGCATCTACTTCACTCTGTCATTTTCATCTTCCTGTTCTTTCATCTCATCTGTATCCTCCTGTTTCGGTCTTTCAATTTCTTTATGTTCCTGTTGCTTATTTCGACCTTTACTCTTGGGAATATTTCTTTCTGTTGTTATTTCATTAAGATCTTTTTCAAGTCTGTCCAGTCTATCCAGTCTATCTTTGTTTAACTTTTCGTCATCTGAATCACTTGATTTTGTGAGTTCATTCAACTCGTTCTTTTCGTCAGTCAATCTGCCGATTACTTCAGAATCGTCATCCGGATTGATGTAATCTTTATCATTGTTGTCATCATCTTCCTCTTCTTTAACGTGATGACTACTTTTCTGTACGTCAACACGTGCATCTTAGTTGTCACGTGCTTCGCCGTTGTCATGGGCCTCGCAGGTACCACGTGCATCACAGTTAACACGTGCGTCGTAGTTGTCACGTGCATCACAGTTTACACGTGCTTCGCCAATATTACGTGCGTTGCCGTCGACATCATTCGTATGTGAATTCGTTGGTAGAATAATTGCCGATTCTGGTGTAGCCGTTTCTGTTATAGTCTCTTTGATTGTTTCTTTGTTGTTTTATTTCAACCTTCATTTCCGCAAATTGTTTATCGCTTGTTTCTGCTCGACGGTTGGCATCAGCCTTCATTTCAGCGTTTTGCTGTTTCATTTCAGCCTTCATTTCAGCGTTTTGTTTTTTCGCTCGTCTATCGGCATCAGCGGATTGCTTTTTTTCTCGCCGGTCGGCATCAGCCTTCATTTCAGCCTTCATTTCCGCGAACATCTGCATGATTTGTTGTATGTCAAATGCAAACGAATTCCTGTTGTTCGTCCCACTACAATTCGATCCTTGTTTGTTTTCGTTTTTATCTGTTGTCCGTTGAGAACTGCTTGAACGGGTGACCCGATCAGTTTCTGTAACTTCTTTTTTTGACATCTTCTCGTCTGTTCGGAAAATCGCTTCTGACACCAGTTGTTATAACTGACCCCTAGAACTTGTAGGGTACGGTTATTTCTCTCTACGTGGATTCTATACTCCTGAACAGACTTATTTCAGTTGATTTTATTAGAAAGAAAACAGTGCTGGCAATCACTTGTGTGTATTGCTGTGATCAATCACTCGTTTATCGATAAGATCGTTAAAATACAGCGCAATAACTAATCGACAGGTAAATTACAAAATACAACTATTCGTCAGTAGTTAAGCTTCTTTAGTCAGACTTATTACATTGAGTTCTCTAGCACTGGTATTCTTTACTGCAGTGCGTTTCCAGCTATTCAAATATTACATCTGTCACCAGTGTGTAATCTCTTGAAGAACCCAGCAGTAATAGAAACAATAAATTAGTTCCAAATAACTACGTAAATCACGTTTACGACTTTTACTTCAACTGTCGTTCCGTCTTCTTCTTACCTGCCCTCCTAGTGTTCCTTCTTCTTGTTCTCGTTTGTCTCGTCTTTTATATAGCAGCCAATGCCGCGTCACGTGACTTTTTTTTTACAACCGTTTCAATTAGTTACGCCTAATAAGCGCTTCACTTAATTTCTAACTATTATATTAGTTCTTATCTCGGTAACGGTATATTTTGTTTATTGAATTGATGATTTCGTTTTTACCTATAAGGGCAAAAAAAGAGCATAAAACAAAAAGGGCGCAAGTCACAAGGGCACAAGTCATAAAAACACAATTTCTGAAATTTACATAATACTTTTATTTACATATTTTCTACGTTGACTTAATTTGAAGCGTGGCGAGGGTATTACAACTAAATGGCGCAGCAAAAAAGGCGTGGACAAAAACAGCGCAGCAATAAGGGCGCAGTGTAATAAAGGCGCGGTCAAAAAAGGCGTTTACAATAAGGGTGCAAACAAAAAGGGCGCAAAACAAAAAGAGCGCAAGTCATAAGGGCGAGAGTCATAAGGGCGCAACTTCTGAAATTTATATAAGAGGCTCCCCGTAAAGGATGTCACGCTTTTTTAACGTTTTTTGTCTCCTTTTCCCTCTTGTCACAAACTGTTATAAATCTACCAATCCCCCCAAAAATAAGCATGTCACAAAACTTTACTCCCCCCTTAGTGAAAAGTCAATAATCAATGTTATTGTTCTATGCATTTTATTTTTTATTGATATCAAAATAACGATTGACAAGTTTATATGACGATAGTTTGACATCTAAATGCTTTACCGTAGTTAAAATATAACGAATTAATGTTAACTTTTATACTAATATTAACTATTAATTAATATTAACACCTACACAGCGGTAAACTTAAACAATGGCATTCAAATTTGACTTCTCCTTTAATTAATACTCATGAGCTATTTGCTCGCTTGAAAACTTTAATATTAAATTATGCGCATGCGCATATATATGAAAGAAAATGTATTTATTGTTTTGTTTATTTAAAAAAGGTACGTCACACTTGCGTTTATCCCTCCTCCCTTTTGTCACAAAGTGTCACAAATATTTGGACCACTTCTTCTCCCCTTGAAGCGTGACATCCTTGGCTGTTTTTTTCATCTTAGCCAAAATATCTGGAGGTGGATTCAACAAACTGAACACCTTTAAAATAAATATGTGGATGATGCTGAATATACTTTGCAAATAAGACAATTAGCTGCATTTGCTTTTGTTCCTGTCCCTGACGTTGTTTCTGCATTTGAAGAACTTACAGATTCCCAATACTATATTGCGACACCGTGAAGGATGTAGTTAATGAAGATAAAGCATACAATTTATGCATGAAGTTCTTCAGTTATAAAATGGATGAATGTGATGATGTTGTCTCTCATGTTACAAAACTCAAGAATCTTTGGAAAGATTTGAAGGTCGAGTTAGGAAAAGATGAAAACAGTGCCTTATTGCTGATGTGTCAAATAAATTGAAACTTTGCCAGGAAAATATTTTTTATTTGCTGCAAGTTGGAAATTGTTAAACAAGACTGAAAGAACAGTTGAAACACTCACAGATCAATTGTGTAGCTATAAAAGATCCTTTGAAGGCAAAACTGAAAGTAATAAAGTATTTTTTATCAAAGCAACTAGTGAAAAGTCATCTCAAAACATGAAAGGTAAGAAACAAGATAAATTTATCAGTAAATCAAAGCGCCTGATACGTCATTACTGCAAATTGCCAGGTCGCATTTTAAGAAATTGTGAGAAATGGCATTCCGATGGTAAACCAGCAAAACCAAGAAATAACAATCTACGCGATGACAATAAGTCACTAGTTTTTATGGAATCAAGTGTTTTTGCAATTGATGAGTCAGCGTACATTGATGAATGGTTTTTTGACAATGGTGCAACGTGTCATCTAACTTTCCGAAAAGACATATTTCAAAGTTTTGAAAAATTTTCTCAACTGAGTAAAATATATGTTGCAAATGGTGATACTGTAGAAGTTTTTGGAAAAGGAATTGTTCATCTTTAAGTGAAAGTGAATAATAAATGGCAAACGGTTTAACTCACAGATGTCTGCTATCTGCCAAAAATAAAAAAAACTTGTTCTCAGCATTTGCAACTCAAGATAAGAACAGAAATAGCTCTTTTGTTTCAACCTCAAGAAGTTGTCATCTACTTATTGACAATGTGATAAATGTTGTTGGAATAAGAAACAATAATGGAGGTTTGTTCAAATTTGTAGCAAAAACTGTTAGACCGTTGAATTCTTGAACGAATGGAACATCAGAATAAGAAATACTTTGCTTTCTCTCTTAGCAAGGAAGAATGTTATTTCAATTTTATACTTGGATTCTTTGGTTTACGTTTCTGATAATATCGCTCTTGAAATTCGAAAATCATTCATTCTAAATTATTTATTTCTTAACTAGTGTTTTTAAATAAAAATTTATTTAAACATTTAATAATTAAATGGGTACTAAAAAGAAGCCGAAAGACACCTCTTTGGAGATGAGGACAACTGAAAGCAACTTCTGTTTAAAGTTGTGTGAAGATTGCCTTAGCTGCAATAAGGAAAGACTGACCCAAATTCTTAAGAAGAATTTGCTTTGTGAAAGTTCCGTTCCAGTAGTTGAGGTACTAAGTGCAGAAATTAAAACCTCAACTCAGTCTATGATATCAAGGATGAATTTTCTTGAAGAGGCTGTAAAAGCTCAAAGTGAAGAATGGAAATTGTTAGCATAAAATATTGAAGACTCTTCTCAGGCTTCTATAAAACAGCTTGAGTACTATGAAAAGTTAACTAAAGCTACTGTTGTGCAAAATGAACAAACGTTGATGAAATATTCTAATGTTGTGAGGGGTGGGGTTAATTTGCTCTCATTTGATGTGAAAATGATGAAGGAGTCAATTCAGGCCACATCAACTAAGATGGATGTTATTAATAAAAGAGAAAAGAGGAAAAATAATATCATTCTGTACAACATGTCTGAAAAGGAAAATATTAAAGAGTCAGTTAACAAGCTACTAAAAGAGATCTCAGGCAGAGACTTGGGGACAGAGGTAGTTGAAATTTCAAGATTGGGGAGAAAGTCTGATGAAGAAAAATTAAGACTCGTTCTAGTTTAGTTTTCTAATTATACTGTTAAAAATCTCATCCTAAACAACTGCGCCAAGCTGAAAAAATTCTTGAATTTTAATAAAATCATCATCAACCATGACCTTTCAAGGAAAGATAGAATAAGTAACAGGAAGATTTTTGAAGAGAAAAAAAAAGAAATTGGTGAAAAAGATGATGTATCAAAGTGGTCATTCAGACTGAAGGGCGTGCCAGGAGACTTTTATGTTATTGCTTTCAAGAAGCAAAATTTACTAAAGTAAAAAATTCAAGTTGCAATAATGGTAATAATTTAAGTGTCATTATGACTAATGTTGACTCAATAATAAACAAATTTTTTGATCTAAAAATTTTTCTACAAAGTTTGAATGTTGCACCTGATCTAATTGCTTTGAGTGAAGTTAATCCTAAAAATTTCAATCAACGTAGAGTTTTATCAGAGTTCTGTCTGGAGGATTACTCAATTATTTTTTCTGGTTTTGCTGAACAACACAGAAGAGGTTTAATGTTGTTTTGTAAGAGATCATTACTATTAACTGAAATAAATTTAAATTCATCATTCAAAGAGTACATAATAGTTAAAATATGTGTTTCTAATAGAGTTTTAAATATTCTCTTTGTTTATAGAAGTCCAAACTCTAATGTTGGAAATAATGATCTTTTGCTGAGGTTGATAAATGATGTGCTGGCATTACCTGGTGAAACCCTATTGTTTGGGGACTTTAATTTTCCTGATATTAATTGGGACACGTCCAGTTTTGAAGGTAATGATGAGAGGGTCGAAAACAGATTTTTGGATCTTCTTAAAGATAAATTTTTAATACAACACATCAATCATCCAACGAGATTTAGAGATGGTCAGACATCAAATATCCTGGATCTGGTGATTTCATCCCAGGAATTTATAAACAACATCATACATTACCCACCTCTAGGACGCAAAGATTTAGTTCAGAATTATCGTCCAATTGCGCTTACATCAATTTGCTGTAAGATTCTGGAGTCATTAATAAAAGATCACATTATGGATTATTTTCTGAAAAATAATTTGTTTTCAAGTAATCAATTTGGTTTCATTCCAGGTCGTTCAACGGTTTTGAATCTTTTGAAATTTTTAGACGTGGTGACTGAAGGAGTAGATCGTGGTTACGAGGTTTGTGTGGCGTACTTGGACCTCGAAAAGGCGTTCGATAAAGTATCCCATAGTCGTTTGTTGTTCAAGCTTGAACAGTATGGTGTGAATCATAAGATAGTAAAGTGGATTGATAAATATCTTCAGGGCAGGGTGTTTTGTCTTGAGTGGAGTCCCTCAGGGTGGTGTTCTAAATCTTCTGCTATTTCTCATCTATATTAATGACGTTTCTTCCATTTGTGATAGTATGTTCTTTTTTGCTGATGACTCAAAATTATTTAAAGTAATAAAGTGTGAGGAAGATAAAATAAATTTTTTGAAAGATTTTGTGAACATGATGAATTGGTTTAAAACTTGGAGGTTGAAGTTGAATTCAAACAAATGTCAGCTCCTAAGAATAGGATCGAATAAACCAAACCCACCATTTACTATACTAGATGATGATGGTTTGTTCAGTTACCTGAGGTTGAGGAAGTATCTGATCTTGGGGTTATTATTGACAACAAGTTGAAGTTTAAAAATCATGTGCTAAAGGTAGTTCATAAAGCAAATAGTATGCTTGGAATTATTGCCAGAAATTTCAAACATCTTTCCGAGGCAGCATTTGTAACCTTGTTTAAGTCATTGGTTCGTTCGCACCTAGAGTACGGCGTACAGGCATGGCATCCTTATAGAATTGGTTTGATAGATGAAATTGAAAAGGTTCAGAAAAGAGCTACGAGAACAGTGAATTCTTGCAGGGAGCTTCCATATGAAAATAGATTAAAGAAACTTAATTTGTCCTCTCTTGCGTACAGGCGTCCTAGAGCTGATCTCATATTGCTGTATGGAATAATCCATGGGGAAATTATGGAGGATATCAGTCCAAGGGTAATGTTCTCTTGTTATGATCAAACTCGAGGTCACAATCTGAAGTTATCTACAGGTGCTTGCCACAAAGACAGTAGGAAGTATTTCTTTTCTAACAGATCAGTTGATGATTGGAACAAATTGCCCTCAGCTGCTGTAAATTCATCCTCTCTATGCGGTTTTAAATCGGCAATAGACAATTTTTTTGGAGATGTCATGTTTGATTGGAGGGCTAATTTCTGATAATCTCAATAATATTGTGTCTTGTTTATTTTCCTATATTTATAAATTTAAATTTTCGTTGACTCAATTTTTTATATTCTCTGTTAAAAATCCTTTTTATTCGGTTCGTCTTCAATTTTGGTTTTTTATTATATTTGTGATTGTATTAACTAGATAGATTTTGTTGTTAATTCAATTTCCTGTTTGATTGCCACTGTAATGACTTTGTCAAACATCTAATGAAGCTAACTCATTTAATTTTATAATGACAATTTGATTTCTATCTTAATCAGTTTTTAATTTTTAAGGGTTTATTTTTGTTACTTTTGATTTTTTGATTTTTATTTGGTTGGCAATGGGCTATGCCCGAGCTATTTCTAGTAATAATAAGAAATACGTTAAAATGGTCATGAAACGTGAACTAAACATCGATATACCTGTAGACAGTAAATTATATGAAGGATGTGTCTATGGAAAAATACATCAATGGAAATTTGGAACTCGAGTAAGAACATTAAGACCAGGAAAATTAGTTCACACTGATTTATGTTGTCCTTTTTGCTTTTTATTCCAAAATTTCAGATACTTTGTTTTGTTCAAAGATGATTTCACAGACTACAGATTTGTTTACCTTGTAAAACAAAAATCAGATGTACCAGAAAGACTCAGACAAATGCTTGCAGAGTCAAGATCAGCTGGTCATAAAGTTTTAGAAGCATTAAGTGACAATGGAGGTGAATTTGACAGCAAAAAAGGCAGATCAATTTTGCAAAAGGAAAGAGTTAGACAACGCCTAATGTTTGCAGTGAGCGTGATAATCGAACGCTAGTTGAAACAGCAAGAACTATGAGACTGGTTCATAAAGAACTGCCCTTTGAACTGAATTAGTTTGTACTACTGCTTACATACTCAACCGAACTGGACCATCTTCTGTAGAAAAAAAATCAGATGTACCAGAAAGACTCAGACAAATGCTTGCAGAGTTAAGATCAGCTGGTCATAAAGTCTCAGAAGTATTAAGTGACAATGGAGGTGAATTTGACAGCAAAGAAGTTCAGCAAAATGGTTGCAGTGAGCATGATAATTGAACGCTAGTTGAAGCAGCAAGAACTATGAGACTGGTTTATGAAGAACTGCCTCAGGCCCTTTGAACTGAATTAGTTTGTACTACTCCTTACATACTCAACCGAACTGGACCATCTTTTGTAGAAGGAAAATCACCATATGAATTGTGGTTTAACAAGAAACCTAAGATAACACATCTACCAATAATTGGTAGCACAGCCTATGTTTATATTCCTATGCAGAAACGACGGAAAATGGATACTAAAGCTCTAAAGGGTATTCTCGTTGGATATGAAGGTGACGATGGCTACAGAATTTTTGTTCAACCAGGAAATAAAATGTTTTAATCAAGAGATGTTATTTTTGATGGGAAGTTTAGTTTGTCAAACCTAATTTAGTGATTTTGCAAGAAGAAAGTTGTTCAGATCATACAGTTTTGATTGATGGTGAAATCAACGATGATAATAAAGAAACTTAGATTAAAAAAAGTATTTCAACTGATGAAGATGTTCATAACCGTAGTTCAGTTTCATCTGATAAAAAAAATCACTCTGATTGTTTTAATCAAAAGACCAAAAATATGATTTTACCTGACAGAAATAATATCAAAAAGCCATCTCGTTATGTTCCTTTTGTTATGTCTGCATTTTGTGAAGTACTTGAACCAGAGAGCTTCAAAGATGCTATTCAAAGTGATGAAAAAGATGAATGGTTCAAAGCCATGAACAGTGATTAGAGGAAAATCAAACGTGGGATTTGGTAAATCTTCCAAAAGGTCATAAGGCAAAACCATGCTAATGGTTCTACAAAGTAAAACACATACCAAATGTCACTCATGCAGTTTGATGTGTCTACAGCATTTTATACAGCTAACTAGATGAAGATATCTACACGGAGCAACCTCAAGGTTTTAAAGATAATTCAGATAGAGTCTATAAACTCAAGCGAAGTCTCTATGGACTTAAATAAGCTCCAAGATGTTGGAACAAACGCTTTGCTGAATTCTTGAAAAAGATACATTTCAAACAAAGCGAATCAGATACCTGTTTGTTCATTAGAATACAGGAAGAAAAAAACTCATACTTGCACTGTATGTTGATGATGGACTAGTTGCAGAAATCGATAAAAAGGAATTAAATATTTTTGAAAAAGAATTAAAGTTAAAATTCAAGATAACATCTAAACTTGCAACATATTTCCTTGGATTAAAACTTAATCAAAATGAGAAGGGAAATATTAAAGTCAATCAGTTATCGTATACAAGAATGATTCTTGAAAAGTTTGGAATAAGCCAGTGTAAACCCTTTACAACTTCGATTACAAAATCTGAGGAGTTGGATGAAAACAAAAATGAACACGAGGAAGTGAAATTTCTTTACAGATCAGCAGTTGGTGCATTGAAGTACTTGATGACGGGAACAAGACCAGATATTGCATATGCAGTTGGAGTAGCATCCAGAAGTTTGAAAAAAACCCAGCAAGTCCAATGTAGCACAATCAAAGCAAATTTTCAGATATTTGCAAGACACAGCTGATGTCGGTATTGTTTACAAGTCTGATCAAAACAATACACTAATAGCCTACAGTGAACTTTAAGTTGCTGATGCTCTGAAAATTCAATGGTAGGACCAATAATGAATCTGATGCGTGTGATGGGTCTTCAGAGCATTTATATATCTATTTTTTGGCTAAATGTTTTTTGCTTTGTATGTATAAATCACTTTTTGTTGTTCTGGTTGATAATAAACAAATCAAAAACATTTCTAAGTTTATTTTCTTTTTTTAATGTCTTTCAATTTTATATTAATATCAATTCATTAAACGATCTACGTTACAAGAAATTTAAAAATAACCATGCAAGCATATGAGTTTACTTGAATTTCTACAATGTAAAAACTATCTCTTAAAAAGAATACCTAAGCTATTATGTTGACCCTACAAAATTATTAACCAAGTGATGAAAGTTAAGAAGTTGTTATGGTTTATTAAATTTTTGAAACATTTTTCAGTATTTTACGTTATATCCTTATTATCAACATTTTAATAAATAGGAGTCTTAATAGCAATTCACTTTTAAATATATCTACTTATTAATCGTCCTCTAGTTTTAATTATAAAAAAAAACATTCCGACAGCCCTCAAAAAATAATCCTGGCTACGGTCTTTCTCAAGGTATTAACTTTTTTTTAATTGGCACTGCATGTTTTCAAACGAGGTTTTCATAGAGGCCTGCTACCCAAAATGCCATGGCAAATAATAGGACAGGACCACGTCACACGAACAATCCGTGAAATGACAACATTGATTCGAATCCGTTGACGCGAAGTAGTTTTAGAGACAGTCTATCACTACGCCATTGACACCGATGACGCAATTCGATTAAATTTTGACTTTTATAATTCAATGAAATATTTTCAATTTTAAAATGCTGAAAAATGTGGCAATAAATTACCTTTACTCGAGTATAAATTATTTATCATTAGCATTAAATATTATAATTATTTTTAATTTTAACTCTCATTAGCATTAAATATTATAATTATTTTTAATTTTAATTTTAACTCTCCTAGCGCCCTTATGACTTGCGCTCTTTTTGTCTTGCGATCTTTTTGTTTTGCGCCCTTATTGTAAACGCCTTTTTTGTCCGCGCCTTTTTTGCTGCGCCCTTTTAACGGTGAGCCCGAGGTGAGTCAAAATTTCGAAATAAAATTAATAATTTTTAATAAAAATTGTCTGCTCTTAATTTAAAAAAAAACGTTTATCCGCACAAAATTAGATATGTGGAGCCTCTTACAAATTTTTTACCCGTTGAAACAACATTTCACGCTCCAATCACAAATGCAAATTTACCAAAAGGAAACGTGAAAAGAAACAGCATTTAACAAATAATGTGGCACACATCGAAATAAAAGAAGAAGCCGGTAATATTACTGGAAGTGGAAGGGCCAATTAAGGAGCGTAGGATGCAAGGGATCATGGTTGCCCTACATCGATTTGAAGTGAACCAAACCACGTGAAAGAGGCCCATGAAAAAAATGCCCATAAAGATTACATTGTTTGCTCCGCTTTCAAACGATGAAGAAATAGAAATGATCAACGAAAAACTTTTTTAATGAAATAATATTGTTGTTATTTATTGTTTTAAATAAATAAGACAAAGGAGAGAATATTTCAAAAACAGTTAAACTTTCACGATCAAAACACACAAGGGCAGGGTCAGGAGTAGCCTTGAAGCAGAAACCCTCACAGAAATTTTTTTTGGATTAGGATTAATTTGAACTAAAATTTGTTTATTGAAAAAACTCTTTCGGCCATCTCAAACATTAAAATTTGTCCATTTTTTTCATACTCATAGGAGTAAATTAATTTAAAAATAACATGAATAAAAAACAATGATTTTAATTAATAATCGTTTAAAAAAGGGTTTCTTATCTTATTTCAAATAAATTAAAATTTCATTAACACAAATGTAATCAATTTAATGTGTTATCATCAATTATATGTCGAAATCATAAATTAAAATCAATCAATCAATCCTCGTTTAACGTTGTTTTCTTTGCCATCAATTTTTTGCGCCAAAATAGACGATCATGAAGTTAATTTAGCTGATGCTTTATCCACCATAGTAATTCGACATTCATCGCAGCTCACTTTTTCATACAGTTTTTCGACACTACCCATCCGCAAATGTATGATACTGCATTATCTAATGATGCATTGAGTGTTGCTGATGCAAAATTAAATCTGCATAATGTCAAGACACAAGTTTTAAAAATTTTTTATAAAAAATACTATGATTAAAACAAACACTGCAGGATGTTGTGATTTTGCTCAAATGATTTTGTTTCGGTCCATCATCAATATACAGCGAAGGCATAGCATAAATATATTTCTCATCTGGTATAACTACTTTTCCTGTATTTTAGAAGTAGATATTAAATAAAAAATTATTAAACTAACATAAGTTTATTGATTTTAACCTAAGAGCAGTCCACACCTACAAATATATTTCCGATAAATATTTTGAAATGCATAGGAAGATGGGTTGTTCCAATCACTTGAATATATTGAATTGAACTATGTATTTGATTGTTTTTATGTGTAAGTAACGACAAACCGGCTTTCCTAACTGCATTAAAAAAAGTTCCAGGTGGTTCTGTGAAAATCTATATGTTAGGAAATATGAATATAAATCAATCAATCTTCGTTTTGCGTCCAGAGACCCGGTTCCCCGAGGTAGGACGTTGTTTTTTTTGCCATCAAATTTTGCGCCAAATTAGACGATCCAGTTCATTTAAATTTAGAGCTTTCATGTCTTGCTCGATTGTTTGCGATCAGGACTTCTTTGGACGGCCTTTGGGACGTATGTCAGGTACTTCAACATCTGCAAGAGAAGTTATGGCACTGTTTCCACTTTGTTTGACATGACAAACCACCGCAGACGGTGTTGCCGGCATTCGTCCTTTATTTCATCTAAACCAGCACGACGAAGGATTTCGGTAGATTTGACGTGGTCCTTCATACTATGCATCCATCGGAGCATTTTCATGTCGGTTCGTTGAAGTTGTTGTTCCAGTTTGGTTGTCATTGGCCATGTTTCTGCACCATATAACAACACCGGTCGTATCACAGATTTATAAAGTCTTGATCGTAGTGGTAGTGGGATGTCACGCCGCATCAATATAGAGGCAAGGAGAGGCCATTCATCTCAGGCTGCACGTATGCGTGCTTGAACGGCAGCTTCAGCTGTTCCAGTACAATCCAGAACATCCCCTAAATATTGAAACGATGTAACTTTCTCTACCTTAATGGCTTCAAAAACAGTGCTATTTCGAATTTGTTGTTGTGGATTGATGCAAGCAGGACAAACAAAATTGGACAATTTAAATAAAGTACCAATTATTTTTGAACAACGTTTGTGACACCACTGGTTACACTGCTGACACTTGATTGAATTGTTGCCTACATCAGCTTTACAAACTGAACAGGGCCATCGTCCAGTAGCTGTGGATTGGATGGGTTCGCCAGTGTTCACTGCTTTGGTTTTGCTGATGTTGACTTTGAATCCATGATCGGCGAGTCTGCTGTTCCAATCTACAAACATCTGTGCTGCATTCTGCTCAGACGTGGCTGTTAAAACGATATCATCAGCATATATTAGATTCCAAAAGTCACCAGTGCGTATCGGTTTTGTGATTTCTTCCATCACAGTTATAAATAACAGTGGACTGAGAATCGAGCCTTGGTGAACTTCTACGCCGATGTCAACTGCATCTGTGTTTCCAACCGTTGTGCTGACGAGTCTTAGTATTCGTATACATTTCCATCACAAGTCGAACAAGATATCCTGGAAGAAATCATAAAAAAATTTTATGTCATGAAAAACGTACAAGATGAATTAAACAAAAAAATTTGTCTGAAACACAAAATTAGTATTTAATGATTGATAAACAACGGAATTATGAAAATGATTGGCATATGCTAGAACGACAAAACATGTTTTACGGAGATCGTGGGATTAAAACGCGTAGAATAAAAATATGAAATGCCAATTTAACCAAAAAATTAAAAATAACAAAAAATTAGAATTATGTGAAAAAAGACAAAAACAACAAAATGTAAAAATGGCTCACAAAAAATAACAACGAAAGCGAAATAAAAAAATCATCGATGATGCAGGCAACTGTAATTAACCTCATGACCATTAACTAAGCTGACTCTATCCATGCATAAAAAACAGCATTGAAGTAATGAAAAAATCTTGAAATAAACCAGAACGATTTCCACAAAAAACACACGATGGAGCTGTCCATAGAAAAAAGCATTCTGAAAAAAATAAAAGTTGGTACAGAAAATAAAATTATTTGTTTTAAATAATTTCTCTTGCATTTTTATTTAATTAGGCATAACTCTGCTTATAATTTTTAAGCAAACAATGCTAACAGTACCTTGGAGCATTGTAATTTAACAAAAAATGGACAACAGCGTTTGCCAAGTTTGCATAGGAAATATATGTTTCCGCTTTTTTTTTATTATTCTTTAAAAATCAAGATCTGACAGACGCAGAAACTGTTACAGCATGCAAGGCGTAGTAGAAAATTAAACAAATATGTAAATAAATAAAGAAAAAAAACGGAGAAAGAAAAATGTTTTAACATGGAAAATAAAATTAAATAAAATAAATAATAATATTAATAATAAAATAAATAAAAAAAAATAAATAGACAATAAAATGAAGCAATGGCATAAAAACGCAAATTAATAGGCCAGTTGATGACTTAGTGAGTTAGTGAGGTAATCGATAAAGAAAAAAAAATAGTTGTGTGAAAGTTTTATTGAGTGTTTATATATTTGAGGTGTCTTGTGATGAAAATCTTTTTCTGATATCTAGATTGGGTGGCGACTTGATATGATAGTTATGCTTGCGCTGACGAAAGTTGCGTGTTGTAGTTTTAATTGGTAGTAGTAGAGGATGGATGACGTGTTTGTTGTTATTTTCTACCTTCTTGAACAGTCTTGAATCGAGTGTGCTGAATATCTGAGTGATGGTAGGATTTGATGCAGGTAGATAATTGAAGCGGATTAGTTTTTTGATGAGAGATTGTAGTTGCTGAAGTTGTTGTTGTGTAGCAAAACCAGACAAGGAAGGAGCTGCATATTTGATGTGTGATATGGTGAGTGATTCAGTGATGTCGAATAATTTGATGCCTCTGAGACCATGATAGCGGAGTGTTTTGAGTGCGTGAAATGTTTAAAAGCTTTTTGTGATGATGTGATGGATTTGAGGTGCTATATTAAGTGCGGAGGTGAATGTGATGACTAATATTTTTAATTGACTTGTGCGCGTGATTGATGAGTATTCTGGAGGTAATGTTATTTTTTACGGTTATTGTGAATGATGAGTTCGAATGATTTATTGAGATTAAGTGACAGATTGCATCATTTTGACCATGTCGCTAATGAGTCGAGTTTTGATTGGATGGTGTTTGAGTTAGATGATGGGAATCAAATCTCGAGCAAATCTCTGAAAAATTTTTTTGCAAATCTGAAAACGAGATTTAGTTAAACCTTTGGATTCAAATAAACAAACCTGCATTTTTCAAAATGAATTTAAATTGCTCAAATCATACATTTGCACTTGCTATGATCACATGACAACAATATCTACATCTCAGAGCACACTGAACAGTAAAATTATTGTTGGCAGAACATGTGATGAACCGCAATATAATATTGACCATCATGGATGTTTCGAGTTTGGAATTCAATTTGTTTGGCAAAAAAAGCGTACAAGAAGGCAATCTCCTTTATTGATAACTCTTTTCTTCTTCTGATAAGTTCTTCTGAAAAAACAGTTAATCGTTTTAAATTCAGATTCGTAAGTCTGAGTCGTTACATTGTTTTTCACATTTTTTGTATTTTAACATTTTAAACACGTTGTATGAATTGTTAAAAATTGTTTAATTTAATAATCATAATCTTATTAATTTATCTTATATAATATATATGTTAATAATTATATAATATTAATATTAACTACATAATAATATATCTTTTAATATATATATATTAATTTATCTAACTTAAGACCAAACCCCTAAACCTTCTATTGAAATCAATTCTTACACGCACATGCAGCCAAGGACAACTCCGATTGGACATGAGTTAGAATGCAGATGATCAACTGAATGACATCATGAAGATCATCAACCGGCTGAATTGCCTACAAATCATATCGATTAAAATTATAAAAAGGCGAGGTGCTTGAGCAACGAGAGGGTCGTACGGAATGGTTTCATGTTTGAAGTAGCCAAATAAGAGAATAAGAATAACCTCAATTTTGATATTTTAGAAGAATTCAATGCATAGAATTATTTGTGCCATAATTGTTCACATTGCAACTAAATTCAATATTTACAATTGAAAAAATCAAAGTCAATATTTAGGATTCAC